CCCCCAGATCAATCCCACTAACGGGTGATTGCTGATGGCAAAAGATCGATAGAACTAGCTGAGAGACAGGCGAAACGAAGGACCCGGATGGTGTGGTGGTGAAGTGCGCTACTCCTCGGTAAGGACAATAGCGCGTTCGTTCCTCACCGCATACACCTGCGGTCCGGAGTTTTGCAAATATCTCAGCATCATTGAAGTTATATCATATTTTATTTCCTGCAAGGGGGGATAGCATAGTGGTAGTGATGTCTGTCATCGCGAGCATGGTGTTGGTTCGATTCCGCCTAGGGCAAACCATGCCTCTCATCTCTCGGGGTAGGGAGATTAGTGCCGGACTTGTCTGGGAAAAAGTCGTCCTCTGCAATCCAATTGGGAACGCTCCAGCCGAACTATCTCTGGACTCCAGGCAGAAACGATTCGACCAGCAACCTACTATGACATTCATGACAGAATGAAAATCCTGAAGCAGTAGCCGAAGCCATACTTAAAAGTTGGAAGATTTTCGTAGACAATGGAAACGAGGAAACGAATCGGATGTGGGAAGGTGATTCGCACAGTAGACGTGAAGACGTGTCATATAAAATAAACCAGAAAAAAATTGTTTTCTATATGTCATGCTATACGTGGGCAGATGTCGCAGTAGTAGGGATATCTTCCACCACGAGCATGGTGCTGGTTCGATACTGCGCCAGGCTCACCAAGCCTTCCAGCCCCACGAGGTCGCTAAATTGGTAACATACTCTTTAGGAACAGTTACTCTCTGCAATCCTAGCGGTAACGCTCTAGCTCAGCTACCTTAGGACTCAAAGTAGAATCGACTTGACTAGCATTCAATGACACTCATAAAGAAAGTGACAATCTACAAGCAGCAGCCAACCCATCATGGTCGAAAAACTTGAAGGCCTTCGTGGATGATGGACAACAGGAAATGAGTCGAATGTGAGAGCTGCTGAGATCCACAGAGTAGATGTAAAGGGTGGTGAAAAAAAACAAATATCCTCCCATAGTTACCGCCTCATCGCGATTGAGGGTATGTATTCCTGAGTGTCGTATTATAATTTATAGCGTGAAGTTGATTTCCAGGAGGACTACCCAAACTGTAACGGAGTTTGATATTTCTATCAAAACACCTGGCTTGGAATAAACCAATGCCAGTAGCTCCCGCTACCTTAAATATATCTTTTTCGCCATGCAAATCCGCCTCCCGTCCACAACAGCGGCTGATATGTGAAAACTAAGAACGTCCCTGTAATGGATTTATCAAAGCCATAGGAAAAAAAAACCCTATAAGATGAGACCGTTCCAGCAAAATGGCAGCTGAACTGAGATTCGCATGATTTCTTATAAAGGAAACGCAGTCAATTTTTAGCCGTAAAACGCAATAACTGTAGCCTGTGTTAAATCTTAGTAAAGGTGAAGAATAAAAATTAATATTAACTTAATCGAAGAATTGATCACTAACCAAGCGTAGTCTGGCAAACGTAGCACTTGAAACAAGCGAGATGATAGAATAAGTTAAGTGATTCGATAATCATGGCAGCTCCTCGACCTGAGATTGATTCGAACTAATTTTAACCTTCAATTTTCTCCATTTATCCACCCATCTAAGGATATACGAAAATACCGTATTTAACTTTTTGAGAAGGAAACATACTTGTTTTTTGGAAGAAATATAGAAATATATATATATATATGTCGATGGAGAACTATATACTATTATATGCATTAACCACTATGACATAAACGATAGTCAGAAGGTGATCGATATTCAAATAGTAATCGATAACCAATGTTATGATAATCTACCACTATATACATGCAAATATACGATAACGGCATCGGCATAGTTTACGTGGTGACACTAAAAACGTGATTTAGACCTGAACATTTTAGTTAATATTACAGTAATATTTTTTAAAAAAATACGCCTACATTAAACTAATCATAGTTTTCAGCAGAAAGCTACCAAGATTTGTCCCAGTTCTTGAGTATTTAAAATTATAACCTAAAAACCTAGAAACTTGCTTAACCAAAGCGACGAGGTTGGTGAAGATATTCAGGAAAAAAAATTACTTGCACTTTCCATAAGCTACACACATGCGAAATAGAAGCAACCGTCAGTAAAAACAAATCATTGGATTGCTCTCTTCACAGCAAGAGACGTTGATTGAAATTTCTTCTTGATCCATAATCAATGCATATTCCTAGCGCCAACAAACTTTACTGATTCAAACGAAATCAGATTTTTCTTCCGCAAAACCACAAAAGATTTTCGAAAATTCTATAAGATTACAGACAGCTGTCCTCACCAAGCTCGTCTCCACAATGTGCACATCGGTGCTTTCCGCTGACGGCCACGACTTGGTCGTTGTTTATCGGTTCACGTCGAATCTCCTCACGGAATGCCACGTTCGTCTCTCTCTTACTGTAACCAGCAGAAGGACTCAGTTCTCTACGTCGGTATTCCGAGGTCAGACTCGGATCTCCACCAGCCACACCACTACCACGTGCCTCATGTTGATCGTATCGTAAGGAGTCATACTGCCGGTTGCGGTACTCGGGAGAGTAGCTCTAAACAACGAATCATGTCCAAGTTTAGTTGAAGTGATTATATGAATATTGCAGAGTCTAATATTCTAGTATAATAGAATTCCTTTTTGTTGTCGGGTAATAAAGGCATATGTAGCGCTATATTGAGCCGTTAACTACAATTATAGTGAAGTCGCTCGATTGTACGATATTTCCTGCCATGCGGGTCTTTTCATTGTAATCGTAACATCGGATCTAAAACGTGGGTAATTAAACCTAAAGTTCAAATCGCGAAACCTCGAATGTACGTTATAAGTAAGTGGTCTTGATGGCGTTGCATAAAAGTTTGCGTCGCATACGAAAGCGTCCAAATCAAAGACTAACCGAGATAAAAAAATTCACACTAGCTTTGGCCCTACCGATTTCATGAACAAACAACACTTGATTATTTGTTCTTCATCTACAACGTGGTCGCCTTAAAAATCTATTTTCGAATTTTGGGATTTTGAGAAGGCCATTTTAACGAAAAAAATAAGAGAACCAGTAGATTGCACACTCTTCTCTTCGTTACGCTCTGGCTCATCACCTTATCCATCATAAGTGGGATAAAAGCTATAGGACTAATTGCAAGTCTATCGTGAGTCGTGAGTATACAAGAACATTCTCCTTAGAAAGTTCAACTTCATCATAAACTTTTTCCACCACTGATCCACATTGTTCACCGATAACACTTCCCCGTCTTCGTCAATCCCATCTTTATTGCTACTGTCTTCAATAAACATTTCCACTGATTGTTCAACAGTAGACGCTAGCGACGTCCCATAATAACGCTTGTCGGGTCATTTCGAGGACGGCTTCCTTGCAGAATTAGTTGGTTTTGAAAGATAAAACGTGAACGAAAACGAGATGCTAGACAATGGGAAGCGAAGCTAAGAGAGCATGAACATAGTGAGCAAAGCAAACCTTAAAGGGAAGTAGCCGATGGTGACCCACAAAGATCTTTTTCTATCCCAATCATGAAAAGCTGGCAAACATTCAGCAAATCACAAAAAATAACTTATTCTTAGCACGTTTAGTACTAGAACGCAGTCTCACTGAGGCGAAAGAATCCAGAAAAATTTCAGTATACACGTCAGTTGACATATTTGAAGAATGTTGAAAATTCTCTTTTTGCATCCATCAAAAATAGCACTAAAGCAGAGGAAAGAAACGGCATACCATATTTTCGTAGAAAAGAAGTGCATGAGATTTTCTATTTCGTCGCAAAAACAACACACACATACACACACCTTGGGTTCAACTTCATGTCTAGGTATATAGACCGTTCTGTACTTTGTAAACAATAGTCAATGTATGTACTTAATCATTAATCTCGTATTTTGAATTGCTCAATAAAAGGTCAGCGTGCTTGCTGTACCTCGGTAGCGCTCCATAACCACCGGGCAAGGTGGCATGGCCTGGTGGCCCGAAACAACGACCTTCTTTGCCCGGTTCAAATATGGATGGCATCACCCCATTCGCTTGCATACTGACAGCACCGTTAACATTACAAGTTGCTGTATTGTCCCCACATGAACTTACTGTATGAACAATATCATTAGCCATTCTTCTTATCTATTGCGGCAGGTGGGATATAGTTTTTGAAAAACTCAAAAGATACACCAAATACTGTCTACTCCAAAATGCATCAAAGCGGCTTTAGGATTATTATCTTATTTATTTGGTTAACATCGTTGCAGTTATCACGTCTATCTTCCCGCTTTACTTTATCTAGTAAACCCCATTTGGCAAACCTTTCACTTAACCACTATTATATCTTACGCCATCACGTTCGTGATGTTCACCAATATGTTAAAATTACTATAACTTCACATGTGCCTGCTGATAGACCAAACTCATCGTACTACTACCATAGGCTAATGTTATTATAACCCACATCCGCCTTCTAGTATGTTAACCTCATTGCACCGTTATTATCATCTCGCATGTGTCTTCTAATATGTCAGCTTCCTATATCCATATATTGCTGTATTTTGCTAAATTTGCGCATCATATTGCGTCGCCAACCTATGACAAAGCCGATCTCTCATTTCTAAGCACCTGTTTAAAATATCACGTAGCGTCTACTCTCAGTTATTGAACCCATAATCATATTTTCACGTGTATTGTCTCGGTATTGGCATATCGTTATTGCTGTAAGGTTGTTATAAATAATTCAATTACCCAAGCTTAAGGCTTGTGATCACGATCCGTGGCAATTACGAAAGATCCCGCGAGGCACGCCGAAAGAAGAGGAGCAACTATCACACGAACTAGCGAACATACCGGGCTAGGTAAGTAGTCCGCAAAGCGGTACAAGATGGCAGCCGATTCCTTAGCTATCAACGCCAAAAGCTTTATCTTTTACTCCCTTTGTGGAAAATCGAATAAAGTAGAGAAAAATAATGCAACAATTACTTTTATAAATGTATATCACACTCAAGAGATGTCGAACCGATGGCCGATTTATCATTTACCATAGCATTAACGAACCTTTCCGAAACGCCTGTAGTCGGTTGTTTTGTCGTAATTGTCAATATCCATGTACCGATCGTCCATCGTGCGACGATAGCCATATTCGGTCGTCTGCCTTTGTTCTTTTTCCAACTTGCGAGTTTCTTCCAATTTTCGATTGATTATCGCTGGAAGATTCCTAGAAATCGAGACATTCAAAATCTATACGCAACCAAACTGAACAATCAAATTTTAGAAAACTTTTTCCAACACTCCAAATTAATTTAGCTGGTTGATTTACTTGTTTTATAGCCATATTTGAAAGCATAGAGTTCCTCTCTTGTTCTCCAAGTGATAAACCTAACGGAATCATTGTAAAGCACGAAACGCTTCATTGAAAGAAAAAATAGACGGCTCGGACCAAACTTCTTAAATTTGATGATCACTGTGTTTGCTAAGCACTATGTCACCCAAGTCCAAAACGGGTTTGACACTCCTTTATGAGTGCTTTGTTAAGAGTACTCCTATACTATTAGGTGCTGTCGTCGTTGAAGAGGCTTAGATACATGACAGCGAACTTGCCTAATCAGAAAGGGATAAAAGATAACGCTCTCGGCATTGATCAACTCCTGAGAGATATGCCATGCATTCGACTTGATCAAGCCTCGTTAGAGGTGATTGAATGCATATCGTGGTCTATGCAACGACTTGCGGAGGCCTCTCAGGTCAGTGCTGCTATCCTCCCAGACAAGTGTGGTACGAATCCCCTAACCCTGGAGAGATGGAAGGCTTGGTGAGTCTGAGCAGCGAGATCGAATCAACGACCATGTGTGTAAGGGATGGCACCTTTAACCACTGCGTTACACGCGCAGCCAAAAGTGCTCACTAGCATCCAAAACGCATCAAGCAGTGATTAGCGCCCAAAATTAGACCTTTCGATAAACGGACCCCAATGAAGAACTTGCGTCGCGGATGCGTTGCGTGTCAGGGGTACGGCCCGGCGTAGCTTGACGTTGTTGGTTAATCACATCACGCCAATCACGTGACTCCTGAAGTGAAGATATTCAAGAAAGAGAAACAACCATATCGAAGATTACGTCCAAGATTCACAATAGCTTCTTCACTTTGTAATACATCGAAGTAGTTATTTCTTTAGTGTTTAGAGATCGAGACTTACTTTTCCTAAAACATACTTGTCCTAAAAAAACACGACAATTCAAAACTAAACGAATATTTCAGCGAAACGTTAACGCATCGTAGTCATACGATTTATGCAGACCATTGACGCGTATTAGCAAGACTACATAAATTGGATATGAAAAATAAAACTTCTGTATAACTAAAATTTTAGACAAAAAGGGACTCTAAATGATGCGGTATCACGATAAAATTCATATGTGAATAATGTGGAAAGTCGACTGAACGACAACGATAGACACAGGAACATACAGATTTCTTTGCACCCACCACCACCTGTTTATCGGGAATCCACATCCGCTTCTCCATTTCCTCATACTCATGTCGCTCCTCATAGCGTCGCTCCAGACTCTTGCTGCTCAAACTCCGACTCTGTTCATCTCGGGCAGGGCTATAGTCTCTTCTGATGTCGAGATCGTATCCTCGTTTCACCTCTCTATTTATGTAGTTCCCATCACGATCGTAAAATCTGTGAGTGACATCAGAAATACGACCATCGTCACGACGACAGTTATACTCCTTTTCAAGGATCATATCGCTCGATTTAGATCTTGCTGTATGGAAGGGACGGGGTCTTGACGTCGATCGGTAGTGATCCGTTCTAAGGCGTTGAATCGGAACTTCAGTTGTTCGAGGATAGTAGTAGTCGGAGTGTGGTCCTACATCAGGGCGATAATTCCTCTTACAATACATCTCGTCAAATTTATACTCTTCTCTCACGATTGCCTGACGATCATCGTAATCCGGCGCGTAGTCTCGTTTAGTAGTGCGGTCGCGCAACTCGCACGATTCGTGACGAAGCTCACGGTGTGGTGATAAGGACCGCCAGTAGTCAGCTGTGGTTCTGGTCGGAAATGACTCGCTGATCTCGGATGATCGTCGAAGGGTCTCGACTGGTGGAGAATGTGAATAGGTTTCACGATAGATTTTTCGCTAAAATACGATGAAATTAGAATCGTTTAAGGTGATTTAAATCTCGAAAGTACGTAGCGAAACATGCGGGGCAAAGCCTTAGGAACACAGCAAACTAATTTCGGAGAAAGCAAAACCTCGTTGGCATAGATTTTTTTTATGGTCTCCTAGAGACCTAGAGATTAGAGAAAGCTCCTATACCAGCGTTTTTTACATGAAAATTCAATAAAGTTTTACATAATATTTTTTTCACAAGAGACTAGAGATCAACTACGTTTTGCTCATGCAAGAACAATGCGGAATAGCGCATTTAGTTTCTTCGCATTAGAGAAAACGAAGGATTGAATAGGAGTAACACACAACAGTTATGTACTGTTATTTTAACCCATTTTGGCGATACGATTACAATAGAATACAAAAAAAGCACAAACGACATTATCAAAAGCTTCTGAAACCTCCTAACGCTTTTTTAGAATGCACGACTGGATATTGAACACCGTCACTCTACTGTGTATTATACATTGTTTGATTCATGGAAATCTATGCCTAGCGAGATCAAAGCTAGAAAAAGCGAGCGTAGGAAGAGAACGAAAAGGAAGAACATTGAAAAAAACGCAAGAAATGAAGAAAGAAACATAGGAAAAGGAAAAAACACAGGAAGCACAAATTCTAGACGTTATGGAGAGAAGAGACATCCAACAGAGCAGAAAGCACTGTGAAAGGCTCTCAACTGAGTAAAAACGAAAGACGAGAAGATGAGAGAAGCCAGGTAAAAAGTACTCGAAGCATTTTAATCGTCTCTTAAAATTCTATTAGTACGAAAAAATCTGAACTACTATAACGATGTATACCTTCTTATTTACTGCCTACTACAAAGTTCACGGCAGGGCATTGTGCGAAATCAATCACAACGATGCTGAGATATTCGCAAAACTTGGACCCAGGGCCAAATCGAACCACGGTTTCCCTTACCGGGGTTCGCGCATTATGCACTGCACCAAGAAGGCCCTTGCTTTGTGTTTCTTTCAGCTAGTTTAAGTAGCTAGTTAAGTTCTACATCATAATGATGTTCCATTACAAACAATAGAGAAGTAAACGAACAAATAAATAAATACATGAGCGAGAATGGCATGAATAGCTTATCAGCAGCATTGTACTTATATAACGTGGATTGTAAACGACAGGAATATGCATCGATATAAATCATATTCAGTTTTCGGATTATACCCACTATTCTATGTGGGTTTTACATTGTTCAACCGTTCACTATTACAACTATGGATAATTTCGATCATGAATGGAAAAATACCGCTGGTCACTTCTTTACTTCCCGAATTTCATTTTCTGTTTTTTTCTACTTGTCATCTTTACTAAAAAAAACTTTCACCTTCCTAAGTTTAGTCAAGCTTACTTTGTGTTGTCATGAAACTCTGTACTAAACGATAGTAAATAGAAACTCCTTACAGCTAGAAATATTCAACGCCCCATGAGATCGCATTCGAGGACCACGTGAGAACTAATAAGAACATTGTTAAATTAATATCTTTAGATTTCTTTAGAATCTTTTCTTTAGAATTTCATCGCCCGTCATTTCATCATCGTAAAATGCTTAACTACACGTTTCTGTACAGAAGAAAATGGTGATTATAAAGATGATTTCAATTAATAGACAGAATGGAAGTATAAGACAGGCTTGACAATCACTCTCGAAAAGTGCGGATCGAGTGACCGTGCTTGGTAATGATTTTGACAGCTTTTAATTGCCAAAGAATGTGGTTAGATATGAGTCGTATCCGAAAGAACTATGGTAACGATCTGTACCACAATTCAGGTACACTTGTATCCGAGTCCCCAATAGAAGACTTGCTCATGCAAGCAAGAACAATAAGGTACGACGTCATGGGCCTGGCCGAGATGGGAAGATCCCAGCCTTTCAGCACCGTCTATGACACCAGAGAAGAACGGCTCCTCGGAACATGCGACAGTAGAGGAATCGGCGGCGTCGGCGTTCTCGTCAACACGAGTTTGTCCATGAACATCGATTCATTCGAACAATTTACAACCCGAACCAGACGTTTACGATTAAAAAGACGTGGATCAATTCCGGCTTTGACAATCTTCTCCGTTTGCGCGCCGACATCAATCTATGGCGAAGAATAAGTCGAGGCGGTGTTCTATATGGACTTGGAGAAGTTCTACAGAGAAGGCCACACAATCTTCAAGGTCATTATTGGAGATTTCAACGCTAAGATTAAGCCAAGAAGAACGTCACATTGGGACCCACGGATTAGAATGGAACGAACAGGGTGAGCGGCTCTCTGAGTTTAACATGGCGACCAACACAATCCTCTCTGGGCTGGACGTGGAGGTCTCCCAATGGAGAGTACGAAAACGAAATAGACCACATCATAGCAAATAGAAGGCTTTGTCTAACCGACGTCGCTGTTGTCCCAAAATTCTACACGTGATCGGACCATGGTCTCCTTCGTGCAAGATTCTATTCCTTGCGGAAAGGAGAAAAAGCCACGAAATTCCAAAACCGAAGTCCCAGAACCACCGCAAGCTGGGATATTTATTCAATTCATTAGTCGGCTGTTGGGTGGATGCCGTTGTCGATAACATCGACGAAGAGTACGATCGGCTCATTCAACATCTTCACGTTAGCGCTATAAAAGCTGAGAGTTCGAAAGTTACCAAGAGACGTCTGTCTCCAGAAAAATTCGAGCTGATACGCCAGCGTGGAATCACACGAGCTGCACCCAACCGCGAACTAACGCGCGAACTTGCAAAACAATGCAGAAAGGCGATAAAAGAAGATCATAGAGAGAGAATGGCCAGTAGTGGCCGAAGCTGCAGAGGCTGGGAAAAGCATTCGCAAAGCCCACCGAAGCTTCGCTAATTACAAGACCAAAATGATTGCTCCTGCCCGCAGATGGAACAGTTAAAGCGTCCAGAAGGGCAATGGAGAAAATCGTTCACGAATACTACTCGGATGTCTTCGATAGCCACGTCCACCTTCCGTCGTATGACATGAAATAAAGGAGGATGGATATGTTGTACCACCGGTTCTCCTTCCCGAAATTCGACATGCCATTTCGTCGGTGAAAAATCGAACAGCGCCAGGTCCGGACAGGATAAGACCAGAACACCTGAAGAACCCTCCATCGGTCTTCGTAAACACACTGGCTCGGCTCTTCACACGTTACCTGTCTGAATCCAAGGTCGCTACTCAGTGGAAGACCAGCAAGACCGTGTTGCTGTTCAAGAAGGGTGACCTACACGATATCGGCAACTAACGCCCAATATGCACGTTGCATGTCGTCTACAAACTTTTCACTCGAGTCATCCTAAACAGGATTGACAGAACACTAGACAAAGGATAGCCATGTAAGCAAGCAGGGTTTCGAAGAGGATTTAGTACGATGGACCATATCCACACGGCAACACGGCTCATTGAAGTATCGCAAGAGTACAAAAGACCGCTCTGTCTCACTTTCATCGATTTATAGAAGGCCTTTGATTCAGGTGAGATGGAAGCAGTCTGGAAAGCTCTTGATAGTCAAGGAGTCCCTACTCAGTACATAAAAATTCTTCGTGAGCTGCACAAAAATTTCACAGCCAAGATATCACCATTCTACAACGATATTAACATTGTCGTCAAAAGATGATTTGGCAAGGCGATACCATCTCTCCAAAATTATCTACCGCCACCCTCCAGAACGATATGCGAACATTGGAATGGGATAATATGGGGGCGGAAATCGACGGTCGGCAGTTACACCACCTTCGTTTTGCTGATGACATCGTCCTTATAACAACAAACATTAGCTAGGCGGAACGTAGGCTTGACGACTTTGATAAAGCCTGTGGAAAGATTGGTTTTCGACTAAATCTCACAAAAATGATGTTTATGAAGAACGGAATGGTTTCGCACACTCCATTCACGCTCAACGGAACGAATATCTCCGAATGCTCCAGTTCTATCTAGGTCGGGAAACCAATATGATGAACTACCGAACTCCAGAGTTGAGCAGAAGAAAACGAGGGGCTTGGGGAGCTTTCAAGACCATCGGGGATGTAGTGAATAGAGCAAAGAACACTCGACTCCATGCCCACCCTTTCGACTCAACGGTACTTCCTGCCCTAACGTATGCGTGAGAAACCTGGTCGCTGCGTAAGCAGGATGAAAGGTCACTCAGCGTTATCGAACGCGCAGTCGAAAGGTCGATGCTAGGAGTATCCCATTCCACACAATTAAGGGATGGGATCCGAAGCTCCGATCTGTGTCAAAGATCAAAATTCAAAGATGCTATTCTGTACGCCAAACAGTCGAAGATAAGGAAGGCCGTACCCGTAGTGCGTATGAATGACAACCGATGGACAAGAGCCGTTTGTGACTGGATTCCTCGGGATGTCAAACGTACTGCAGGAAGACCACCGACCCGATAGCCAGAGTTCTTCACAAAAAGCCTTGAAGAGCGATATGGCGCTCGACGAGTCCCTAGAACGAGCAGTACCCACTGGGCTACACTTGCATGCGACAGGGAAAAATGGAAAATTTACTGGCGCTCGCTCGAGTCACTCGACGATCAATGGAGCTACAGGTGATGCAGGTGATTATTTCGTGGATACAACTATCTGAAACGTGTGACTCGTCTTTTTGATCGTTGGAATTGCCGTTTTGATTCTGTTGAGGACCACTCCAATGTTGTTCTCACCCACAGTTCTTCTTCTATCGTTACGATTGAGCAATCGATGCCCATTTTATAAGACATGTTCCTTTGATCCTGGAATGTTGTTTGTCTTTCAAAGACGTGAACTACGAATACTGGCTTGGTGTTGAGTGTAGTGGTGCATTCATCTTCAGAAAATATCGCTCAGTTATGCCGTGTATAATGACCGACTCAGAGGTTTTCTCAAAACCTTTGCTATATAAGCTCTATGGTGATTGAAGAGTCAAACGAACCTATTGCACTCGTCGTAACTATCATTAACAACGCTATCTTCCCTGAAGCCAGTCAAAAAAAGCATATAGATGCAGTTACCTACTAATTCCGGACTCCACGGCAGACATCAAAGCTTACCTAGTTCGCCAAGTATACTTGAACACATGATGAATCCCACGATTCCCACGATGTTGAACACATCATGTACCATCTCAGGACGGCAGTTGGATGCACTTATTGCTTGCACTTCCGTTTTTAATGTGGTGAACGTTGTGTTGACCAACATCGCAGCTGCATCGTAACGTAACGTCGACGCTATTATTACGAATAAACGATAGTCGCACGTTACATGTAGGACAGAAAGTCGCTACTGATTCATTTCCACAAGATGGTTACCAGCGGGAAACTAACATCACTACAGACAACAATACTTAACAGTAGATGTTTTCAAAAGACAGTATGTGAATTCAAATACCCCAAAAACAATAATTGGCAGTATCGCTTAGGAATAAGAGAACGTATAGATTTTTTTCCCGTTATCTTAACCATTTAACGACGTACTAGTTTTCTCGCTGATCATTAGAAGACAACAAGTTTAGTAACTCAGCTTAATAGTCATAAACCGCACACTCTATAGAAGTGGTAGAAATAAAGGTAAAGGTTTTGGTAAAGCAATAATCACAGCTCTGAATTGTCACAAGGGTAATTCGCAAATGTGAATCGTTCCTTACCCTATAGATTTTATTTTCCAACAATAATTTCTTGAGTTTCAACGTAAGAATGCCCCATGCATTCGATTCCATTCGTAGGATCGTAGAGTCAATGAAATGGACGTTTGGCCTAACAGGGGCCAAACGGGGCCTAGACCTAAGAGGCCTACTGAAGTGGTAAGTCAGTGCTTTTTTTCTCCAAGATAAATGCAATACCAATGACCATTAATAAGGTTCAGTGCTGAATAGAAATCTTCCTTACTTACTTTTCTCGGGAAAAATCAGTGTTGCACGAGAAAGAAGATTTATTCTACTACTAACCCTAATGGCATAGAACTGCCCTCCCCCGGAAAAGCCAAACTGCTAGTTTCGCGACTAAGTTTCAATGCTTAGCATATCCTACTATGATTACATTTCTAGTTTCTTTAGCGAATTTATGTGAAAATTGGTGGAGAAAAAAGTGATTCCCTGCCGCTTTAGCTCTGCGTTTCTTCCATAACAGTCACTAATTCAACTACGGTGATTCTCTTATCACCAGTCATCGGTTCTCGTAGAGCAACATATGACCCAAACAGAATAATGGGGAACTAAAGACGACTACGAAACTGGCACCGACCACTTGAGCTCCAAACAACTTCGACATAGCCGCTAGTCAGCAATAACACAACAAAACAAAGCAAAAAGGATAGCAGAATTTTTTGAGGATGACACCAGCGACGTCATCTAGGAAAAAAATCTATCACGTAAAAGCTGAATGTTGAGGGAAATATTGCATAACATTCACGTAGAACAGTTTTCGACTGAAAAATCGCTCGTAACTGTATTGGAGAGCCCACAGATCTACATCGAAAAACTATAGCAATCGAAGTTTCCAGTTATTCGAAAACCAAAAGTGAACATTCAGAAGCCTACGGAGAAAAAAATGGGAGGAACACATATTCAGAAGGTGGTCAGGGTCAGCTGTAAGGGTAGTGTTGTCAATCAGATTATATTTTAACTCTCTCAACTCGTTAGTCTAGTCGAAAACTCTTCTACATTCGTTAAAGCATTCGTGATAGGTCAAAGCATAGGAACGTGAATAATGAATAAATCAAGAACCGAAACTCACCGAATAGCACTTTTCTGAAAACAGGTCGTCATCATTCTGTGTACGAGTTTCACCTTGCGACTAAAAGACAAAATTGTTAGAGGAAAAGAGAACTCTGGAAACTGAACATCCCAGTCTAGCACTTGGTGAAATATCCCCTTAATGAAACTCTTCGAAACAGAAATTTAAAAATCCCCCATACTCATTTGCCAAAATATCGTCTAAATTTATTTTCAAACTGATAAAACAATAAACAATAGAGCTCTCGGCGTTGAACAATCCCTGAGGTAGCCGTCATGCATTCGACTTCATTAAGCAACGTTTGGAGGCGATTGAATGCACACCTGGCTTTTCTAATGACTCCCAGTGGCCTACCGATTTATCGAGCTAGTGCTGCTATCCTCCCAGGCAAGTCTGGTAGCAATTTGCCGACCCCGAAGAGATGGAAGACTTGGTGGGCCATGGGCACGAGGAACGATTCCACGTGTGTGTTGCAGGGCACCTTCGACCACTGCGCCACACGCGCCGTCAAACTGATAATAATGTGAAACATTCATAAATAATGAGCTTATAATAAAAGTGATATTCATAAGCAAAATATTTTTCTGTGACGAACAATAAACTCGGTTTTTTTTCCGGTAGCGTGTTTTCTGGCTTTTACCTTAAAAAGCATGGAATGAATCAACGAAAGAAGAAAAGCGCACTAGTACGAAATAAACTGAAGTCTCAAATTCAGAAGAACTTCTGTAGAAAAAAAAGCGTACAATACATGCTAAGATGGAAAATATCTGGATACAACAAAAATTGGATTTCCGCTTCCTTAAAAAACCAGTAAGAAACTATTTTGACTGAATGTATAGCTTTTTATTTACTGGCTATAGTTTTTTCTATGGCAGCATATTGTGTAAAGTGCAATCACAATAATGCTGTGATATTTGCAAAACCCACATTCTACGTCGGATTCGAACCCGCGGTTACCCTTTCCGTGGGCACACGTGTTACCCACTGGAGAACTGAAGCTTTAGCCTTGCCTTTCTCTCAGCCTTTTTTCTAATCTGGTCTGGAGTCCGAGTTTTGCAAATATCTCAGCATTATTATACTTTGACAGGTTTTAGACGACTTTTCGTTTATAGCTTCTCCGTAAGGATGTAACAACAACTAAACTGTAGTTTCTCTTAGCAGTTAAACCCATGGCATTTATGGTTTATTTAGTGAGAGCATTATGGCATAGGGTGACCACATTTTAATGCTATATTGACCCTACTGTAGTGTGTTGGCAGTGTTACACCTGAAAATCGAACTTTGTTCATTTGAATCACCTTACTGAGAGGTATCTCGATATTTCCACCCAAAAGAGTAGCCAACGGCAAACCTATAGGGGCGTTCTCTCCAGTTCTTCAGTAGGCCTTATGCAGCTATCTCTCACTTTCAGAGGAAAAATTGTGCCCATCTAACAAAACAATTGTGAAATAGAAATTGTACGGGAAATCACGGACGATTCTGCAGTAAACAAAAAAGGTATTTCATTTATCAAACAAGTGAGTACAGGGTGACGTTTAAACTCCAACTACACAATAATAAATGCTGTGGACGAATGATTACTTGCTCCTAAAGGTAAGGAACTTATTTAGGTTGTTATAATATAATATATTGTCGTGAACAACTTAGTATGATTCTTTTATACCCAACTTCATGCCTTTAAAAAGCAAAATAAAGCAAACCGGCTTTTTAAAGTTCAAACTATACTTCCATAGAGAACATCTAAGAAAAATGGAAGGATCGACTACGGTCGGAAAGAGGGAGAAAGCACTAAGGCTATTCGATTCTTTTTTTCCTGCGAGATACTTGACAAAGTTCTGTAGAAAAAACTTCTTTCACAACCGTCGAAATCGCATTTTGTAAATGCAGGACATGGTGTTAAATGTTCGGTTATGCTAAAAAATAAAAACAACGTACAAAGTTAAACAGTTCTATCACATTACCGTGCTCCCCCATTTCGGGCAACACAGGACCATACTGTGAGTCCTGCGCGGGTGAATACGCCGTCGAGTCCGTCGAGGGTCGCGTTTGAGTGGCTACGATTCGAGTAGTACCATACATTGGGGGTGTTTTCTATGAGACGTGTAACAATTCTGACAGCCTTATGACTAAGTACGAACGAAAAGTATTGCCAGAGCAACAAGCCCATGTGGCTGACTTATATTGATGCCGTCAGGCAAGCAATATTCACCAATGACTCGCTCGTATTAAAGGAATCGGACAAAAATTAACGACGTGCAGAGAAACAATAACTTTCTTCACGTTGTTATTTTAAATCACAACATAGAGAATTGTGGAATCGAGCGTCAACATTATGAGAAACGACGAACAATGAAAGAAACAGTGAGAAGCCGTAGCTATTCCAATTTCAGAACCTATTTATAGAAACTGCAGATGAATCAAAATTTTTATAAGCCAGAGATTTTAAAGAAGCACATCAGAGATGTGGAAAGTGGCTTTTCCAATCCGATAAATAAAAGCTAAACCTTTCGGCGTCGATCAATCCCTGAGGGATGCGCCATGCATTCGACTTCATTAAGTATCGTTAAAGGTGACTGAATGCATATCTGGCCTTTACAATGACTCGCGGTGGCCTACCAATGAGCCAGTGCTGCTATCCTTCCAGACAAGTCTGGTATAAATTTGCCGACACCGAAGGGATGGCAGGCTTGGTGGGCCATGAGGGCGGGGATCGATTCCACGTGTGCGTTTCGCAGGGGGCCTCCTACCATTGCGCCACATACGCCGTTCCAATCCGATAATGAAGGGAATTCCCACGACCGACTTTCAGTTAACCTCGGCATTGATCAAGTAATTTTTCGTATTCTTATTGAGCAAACGCGGTGTGTTATTTTTATTCTTCATTCACGAATAAGTTGACGTTTCGGCGGATTTCGCCTTCTTCAGAGCCTGGAAAGATCAAGTTGACAGCAATCTATTTGGCCAAACACCTCCATAACCAAACAAAGAAAACGCTAAATCAAGATTTCAATCACATTAAACACAGCTTTGCGCGGAACTGTAGCTCGGGATAGGTGTAGGGGAAATCCTAGACCCCCAGACCCCCAAACGATAACTCTAGCGACAATAAGCTCTCTTTTATACTGCCCTTCATTTCAAATGAAGTAAGTGCAGTTATGAAGCGCTGTTTAAGAAGGAAAGGTTAAGCGAATTCGGTAACGATAATTGAAATGCCACCGAGTAATCTAAGACGCCGGCTAGTTCGTAACCGCCTATACGAGCGTCTGTGTGCAACGCAAAATTGCATAATTTGCCCCAATGGTAAAGACGGTGATTGCATGAGCTCGGATATAGCTTATCTGATCTCCTGTAAGGTGTGCGGAGATGAATACATTGGAGAAACGGGCAGACCCCTCTGTGTCCACATAAAAAAAACCTAGCCGGTAGACGTGAACCAAATACCCCACTAGGCACGCATAGGATCCAGAGACATAACCGGGAGGACTTTGAAGTACGTGTCACGATCCTCACGCAGGGATCGAGAACACAAGCGCGCAAAACTCTCGGGGTGTTCTGGATTAATTCCAGAAATCCCAAAATGAACCGCAGGAAAGAATTCCTCATTATCATGCGTGATATTGGGCAGTATATAAGCCTGTTATTCTGATGGGAGAAGCACATTACGCTTCCATGTGAATTCTGTGCGGTTGGTCTCCACGTGACATATTTAGTGGAAGACTCAGAAAACGGTAAGTGTGCAAAGACTCTGTGTTCAATGTGATTGAAATTTTGGTTCAGCATTTTCTCTGTTTGGTCATAGAGATGTTTGGCCGTGTAGATTGCAGTCAACTTGACCGTTCCAGGCTGTGATCTGAGGACGGCAAAATCCGCCGAAACATCAGCTTGTACGTAAATAAAGAAGGAAAATAACACCTCGTGTTTGCTCAACAAGAATACGAAGAGTGAGGGAAATTTTTTTTCGAAATTTCATACTAACAACCACTGTCAATTGTCCACGTTCTAGTTTAACATGGACAACTTTCTCGTGGACGAGTTTCCCAGTAATGGAACTTCATAAATATTAATTCACTAAAAGATAAATAGCCTGCGAGTTCAATGTTTGTGGCTTCGGTTTCACGCTAAACATTTCTATTAAAATTTTGTTATATGAAAAAATTTCGTAGAGGAATACCATAAATTCGTGTTTCTGAAGTGGGAAACGAAATAGTAAAACTTGTGATGTTTTACTACCCAACATATCTTTTTCCATTTACGACACTGTAACACTCTTAATGGTCCTTGGCCTCACTATGCAACGCAAGCAGCTGTCGAACTACAAAATACAAGAGGACGATCGTTTGCAAAAAGACCAGCTAAAATGACAGGTTCGACATTTCATTGTGGAAATATAGTTAAGATTAACGTATGCCTAGGGTTCCAAACATCCATGAAGTAATTCAGTTGCTGGACGGAATCTTGCCGCGCAACCACCAAGGTCCGCGAATACCTGTGGATATCAGAAATCTCGGAAAACATGGCAGGGTAGCGCATAGGACTTTTCTCAACTACCAAAATATTAGTACTATATAGTTTGTACAGAATTCTGCTCGATTTTTCGTGAAAACAAATCATCCTGGTAGAGTGGCACTTATCGCTTCTCGTAGCCAAATCAGTGTACCACCCTCCTTAAGTACTATCAATTAGCACTGAGCGAAATTATTAAAAAATAATATTTGGTAAATAATCAAAAAAATAAAAAAGCAATAAAAACTTTCAGTGGAATCCGAAAAAAAATCCTGTAGTATCTTTCATACCCACATTTCTCGGTAGTGTCGATCGTTTCGGTACTGCACTAACTGTTTCGTCCTCCTGGCGAAACGATGAAGTTAGCGGAAAGCTCTTAATGTTCCACAGTTACAGAATGTGTCTTAAGAATTCTTCTAAATAGTCAAAAAAAAATGTCGTATAATGAAGAAAATAGCAATAGAAAGAAAAGGATACCAATGACCCAATAATTTAAAAAAAGGATAAAGCTCTCGGAGTTGATCAATCCCTATGGGATGCGCCTTGCAGTCGACTTCATTAAGCATCCTTGGAGGTGAATGAATGCATATCTGGCCATTACAAAGACTCGTGGTGGCTGCCGATGTATCGAGCCAGTGCTGCCATCCTCCCAGACAAGTCTGGTACCAATATGCCGACATCGGAGGGATGGAAGACTTGGTGGGCCATAGGCGCAGGGGTCGATTCCACGTGTGTTGCAGGGCGCTTCCCACCACTGCGTCACAAACGCCCTTTCTAATAATTTAATATTACATAAACATTCACATAAATTTTCATAACATAAGTAGAGAGCAAGAGTCATTTAAGAACTTAACTATAACTACGTCTTTAGAGAACTGATTAGAAAGGTTTTGAAGATGATGTTTATGAAAGGAGCTCAAAGTGACTGGAAGTTTTGATAGATACCGTAGCGGTGGTAGTTAAAGCAATTTTCGTTGTTGGTGATGCTGGTGGGAGATCGTAGTTACGAATCAGCCTCGGTTCCTCGTCCGCAGTACGCTGGAAGTCTGTAACTACGTTCTTATGGGTAGTACTTTAGAGTAAAATATGATATGAGTATCACTGAAATGGGATATTTTGTAGCATAATATTGAAGAAAAAGACGCACAACAATGGTGTATTTAGAAATTCCACACTTTGGAAACACAGTCACCTCTTTTCTCATCAGATGTGGTCCTCAAAACGTTTCGTTCACTTTCCGGCACAAAATCTGTGAGTTTACCGGGGCCAATTTTCTCGTGCATTGATGTTACCCTAAACGTCTGCGATATTTGTTACACTTCTCAGAAATCATGTTGATAATAGTAAACCCTTCTCCACATAACCCTTGTGTTCTTAAAGGCTAGTTCTAACCCGGTATCTCTACTCCTCACTCACAAAGGGACAGCGAATTGCTTTCTTTTTGCCGAGTAAGTGGTAGGATAAGAAGTCATTAATCAATCTCAATTAAACCAAGACCAATACAATTCCTTCCGATTCTTGTCGAATCGTTTGTAGAAGAAATGTTGCTGCAAACGACAGATCTCATTGCGTGAACTTTTCAACTGATCGATTTTTGAACTATAAGACCACTATCATCGGGACCACTACAGAAACTGCTAATATTTCTCACTCTTTATTTTCTACCTACTATAATTTTCACGGCAAGGTATTATGTGAAATACAACCACAACGATGCTGAGACATTTGCAAAACTCCGGACCGCTCGTGTCTGCGGCCTCAGTTTGATGGTTTCAGTGCCGATGTGGGCTCACCAAATCAATCCTGTTGACGGGTGAAGTACTAGCTGAAAGACGGGCGAAACAAAGGACCCACGTGGTGTGGTGGTGAACGCCTTAGTCACCGGAAAGGGTAATAAGTGCGTTGGTTCCCCACCACAGACACCTGCGGTCAGGAGTTTTGCACATATCTTCAGCACCGCTGTGGTGGTATTAATATTTATATTATCTGTGAAAGCTTTAGAAAGTAACTGAAGAAGAAAACCAAAATCATCACCTATAGTCGGGATTGATATTACTGCTTGAATGCGTCCTGTATTCGGTGCGGACGTTATTTGTGCTGTCATAATATTGGCGTGTTGCAGTACGTTGTGCTCCTAAAAAGCTCATGTGTAACAAAAGTGCTGAAAGAATAATTACTGATTACTAAAAAACACGATGTAGCGTAACGCTATGACGTGCAACTAACGATTTCACGTTCTTAGGTTCACCTTCTCAACCTTGTCAAACACATCGAGCTCTTCACTTCTCCATACGATGGGCGTATTCGTTTTCTTTTTTGTTTCACAAAAACGAACCTGAAGAAGAATTCTCCCGCTTAGACGTTGGTAGTGAGCCTGTTGAAGTGGATCGCGGTAACGAGCTGAAGTCACGAACAAACGGCTGATCAGCTCGTGACACTAGAAATGATCAAATTGCCGGATTATTAGGACAAATGCTTCTTAAGCTCCATTTATCGGCTTAAACATCCTAGACATTACACGATCACAGGATTTTATTCACGTTTTTTCATGTGAACAATCAATTTTGAGTGCTTCTTTTATAACTGTGAGCTCGCATCTTCAACTCCGTCATTTCCCGTTTCTAAAGACTTTTGAATTTTTCTCTGGATTGTACCTCATCTAGCATTAGAATCTCTTTTAAAGATAGACCGCAAAAAAGCACTCACTCTTAACTCTCTAGTTAGAAAGTGAAGAAAACCGCTAAGTTGTCAGAGGAAAGTCAAGCACATAAGAAAGACAAACAACGAAAAGTGTCATCATTGCAGAAGAATTTCGCAGAATAGAACAACATTCCATTCCAGGTAGTATGAAGTCGAATTTACACCAATCGAACATTCAAATGTTTGATACAACCACAATGATGCTGAGATTTTTGCAAAACTCCGGACCGCAGGTGTCTGCGGTGGGGAATGAACGCTCTATTACCCTTTCCCGGGGCTAACGTGTTCAGCACCACTCCATGTGGGTCCTTTGTTTCGTCTTTCTCTCAGCCTTGTTTTGACCTGTAGGTGCTATCGGCAATCCCCCCGTCAACGGGATCGATCTGGTGAACATAAATTGGCACTGAACCCAGCTAAGCTGAGGCTATAGTTGAAAATCATAATGTTAGCTTTTTATTCTTAAAAATTTCTTGCTCCTTAAAGTTTTTCTTCCTTAAATTCTAAAAGGCAGTAAGTAAAAAGTTAACATTGTGCTTCAAATGTTTGTTCGATTGACTATGAAGAACAGAAACATCTAGCAAATTTATCCCCCTTCCCAGTGAAATGCTCAAATCTTCATTCTTACTGGCGAATATTTGAGTCATTGATTGTGAAGACATCGATTGCCATAAACAATGGATGCTAGTTGGTTTTCCCGTGGAACAACTTTGGTCGAACATCACTGTGCTTTTAGTAGTTTAAGCTGCACGACAGCAACGATATTCGAAAATGTGTTGCGAATGGTCGAAAAGCCTATTCAAAAAGGTATACTTTTGCTGTTTCTATCACTTACTGAACTTTTGGGAACGACAGTCACACGGTTCGTACGAGCTGTTATTAAGTATAAATCGATTATGACAGAAGTCAAAAATTCGCACTCATGGTCGAATATTCGTACCGGATGATTCGAATGCTGACCATCATAGTTGGGTATACAAGAAATCTGAATTTGTTTACGAAAATGAAACAACAAAGCGATTGATGTGCATCATGCCTCGGTTGTGCTTCCTTTTGAATTCTGCATATGAGTCGATCGGTTTCTCAACGAACACCGAGCGTACTCTGTCGAAATTCTCCAGCGATGAGATCGATTTCACTTGAGGGGTTTTTGCTAAAATTCACAGAAAAATAGAAAATATAAACTGAAAGGAACTTTTTTACACATTTGAGCACAGGACATTGCAAGACGATGTCAAAACGAGAACGGTTAGGATTGTTATTGTTAACCTCGTGCAGGTCAGAATAGCTCAGGCCACATTCCACGGAGGAAATAAGCACTAATTTGTAATAGCAATGTGTTTAAATAATACACTAGGAAAGATTTGTATAACGAGAAAATCTCGAAAGTAAGCACCATTTACGGTTAACAGGATTCAGGCAAGGGACCCGGTCGTAAGAATTTAGCATAAGAAAATCGTTTGTCAAACTAGAATTTAAGGAAACCCCACCTTCATTGAAAGACCTCACTTACAAGAAAAGAGCAAGAGCAACTCCCACTCATTAGAAACTACTGAGTAAATTTATCGAATCTTGATGGTCATAAAGAATGAGAAGTATTGACCCGACTATACTTTATATTGATTGATATTAATACGATATGAGTTAGCACCACCCTGAACCGTGCAGCTAAAGAATTCTACTAACTGACCGTCTCGTCTCTCGATGCACAACTCCACTTCACCTAATCGTGCCGCTTCATGGAGTACTCGATTAATCGCCGACGGATATTTATCCTTCAGATGTTCGCCATTTATTGCGATAACACGATCGCCAATCTGAAATACCGGACTGCCCTGCCTAGTATTGTTACAATCTGCGCTAAAACTCATCATCCACTGGGGGACGATTAAACCCACTCTAGCATCATAAGCGAAGCACATTTTGCCACTATATTTTACGAGAACTATAAAAAAGAATCTACGCCAATGTAGTTTGTTATTAGACAATCTATTACTTCTAGAGGATGTTAGGTCTATGCTCTAGTGCTAACTGAACGGACGTTTACGATTTAAAGCGCTTGAAAGCCTATCCGTAAGAAAAACGGAATATTTAGATTCCCACAATAAAAGCCGGTTTCTTCAGCATGGAGAAATTTCATATAATACCGCTACTCTATGGATTTTGTACCGATGAAATAGCATGTTGGATATGACGATATTTCGTATGAGAGAAGCAGGAATTAGTCATTGAAAGGACCTGAGCAGTAATCGTAATTTTTTTCCACTCCCTTCCTGGAAGCTGTAAGCGTTGCAGCAATGTCCTTTGCGAATGATTTTCGTAGCAGTCAAAGATTCGGTCATAACTGCTGTTCTTCTCTCTTTAAGACCTTTTTATCACCTGTCTGCACTGTTTTGCAAGTTCGGACGTAAGTTGGAAATTGAATCTGGCTTGTGCGATTCTACTTGGCGTATCAGGTTGAGTATTTCCGGAGAGAGCCATCTCTTGGTGGCTTTCAAACTCTCAGCTTTCATATGGCTAACATGACGATGATGAATGAGCCGATTACCTATTCCTAGTCGATGCTATCAATAACTGTATCGTTCCAAGAGTTAACTAATAAGATGAATAAACCACAGTTTACTGCGGTTTTAGGATTTCGTTTTTCGCACTTGGTGGTTTTCCTTCCTTTAACCAAAAAAAGGAATCTTGCGCGAAGGAGGTAATGGTCTGAAAACGTGTTAAAATTTGCGACAACAGCGACATCTGTTAGGCAAAACCCTTGATTTACAATGTGGTCTATTTCGTTATGGTACCCACCATTGGAGGATCCCTAGATTCAGCACTAAGAGCGAGGCTTCTCGAATTGTTAATTACCACTAATAGTCTTGGTCGTTATGATAAACTCATACAACACCTCACCATGCTCGTTCTATTTTAATCCGTATGTTCCAATGTGGCGTTCTTCAGACCTTCCCGTGGGTACAAACTTAACGTTAATGTGTCCAATGATGACTTTAAAGAATATATGACCTTCTCTACAGAGTTTCTCCAAGTCTACATTGAACGCTTCCACTTCCTAACCGTCATAATTTGATTTCTGTGCATACGCAACGAAGATCGTCAAATACGGTATTGATCCAAGTCTCTTCAACACTAAAGATTTGATGCGAGTTATGAGTTATTCGAATGAATCGATGTTTATGGCTAAACTCGTGTTGACAAGAACGCCGACGCCGGAGGCTGCTCCTTTGTCGCATATTCCAAGGTACAGTTCTCTTCCAGTGTCATAAACGGTATAGAATGAGCGTCATCTTCTCGTCTCGGCCAGTTCGATGACGTCGTGCAGGTGAAACAGGTGATCACTACCAGTGAGAAGTAGCACGGTGGTAGTATGGCTACTAATCAAAGATTTCCTTTTACAATGCTGATTTCCTTACTCAATGTCAAGCCATGTTAGCAAAGGGAGGGGTGTGAAAAAAGGGGTGTGGTTGTGGTGTAGGATCCTTGTTCCTTCGGAGTAATCGCATCATTACGAATAGAAATGATAAGATGAATGTATCCTACATTCAGTCGATCGGCAAAAAGAAAAAACTATTTTCAATCACAGAAAATGAAGTCACCGGTTCAAATAAGACTAGAGTTGTTTTTTTTCTAACTTACTACTTGGACACTTGGATGGCCCGTCTTCAGTGGCTGCGCGGGTTCTAGCATGATCTACATCCTTTCGGAGTTTTGCTGATTTAACCATTCCGGTTCCCTGAAGCCCCGAGATCAGCCTAGTCAATGTTTGTCCCTGCCCGTCACCAGCACAGGGCGGTAGCCGCCCTTGTGGATCAGAGGGAAATTTTTCACCATGGTACTAGTTTGATACCAGGACGATGAATGATCCTGGTATTGGTTTACTCTTAGCTGGTGGAAACGCCGGACTGCTTCACAGCTTGGGGGAGCCTGCCGGGGTAAGCATCCCTACACTGTACATTACAGCCCAGCCCAACAACCAGAAACACCTCCCAGCCACAATGAGGCTGTAAACCGTCGGAAAGTTTTTTACTCGCATGTTAGTCCACTTTCACTTGCATCTTACTGGTAACGAAAAAGCAAAATATGAAAGCATATCACTCACTAGTAGTCCAGCGCGATCCGCTGGTGTGCCGACAACCACACTATCGATAGTAGGCCGTCCACGATCCATGGAAACCGAAAATCCAAACCCTTTGTGCACCGGATGCGTGCCCATTGCTACTTTCACAACAGTTGCATTTTCGTCCTTAATAGGATTCTTTCTTAAGACTTCTTAACAGTATTTATCGTTGTTAAAAAACAAGCATAATAGTTAGTTAACTAGAAACAAAAGAAACATAACATTAGGATTTAGGTTGACATTCGTGTTCTATTTAAGAATTCATCAAGTAGATCAACACGGCTTCAGTTTACGTGGTTATTTTTGTAGCCCGGTCCCTCTTTTAGGCATTTCAAAGTTTGAAAAAATGTTTTAAAATGCTGAAACCTTCTTTGGTTGATAGGTAGCTGGTGACTCGTCAAACGGAATATCCACGGCTCGATATACGGTGGTCGGTGGCATGCTCCTGTATCGTGATTGCGGGCTAGATGACCGAGTAGAGATAGGCCGAACTGATGAAAGAGGAGAAGGACTGACGTAATGCGAGATTCGTGAAATGAGTGTAGTTTCCTGAAAAGTAATGAAGTAGGTGAAAAAGTTTCATGAAGGTAGACAGTTTGTTAATGAGAAAGAGTAGGAGTGAGAGGAGAGCGAATGGAGAAAAAAAAGAAAATGAAGACAAACAATGAAAATGTTTGCCTACTCAAATTAGAAACACTATTTGCAAATTTTGGATTTATTCAAGAAACGGCCACCAGTTTTGCATGAAAAATACATTTATCTTTGTAATTTTTCTCTAATTTCAAAAGATCAATATAACACAAGGAGCCTCGAGCCGGTTCATCGAAAAGCTACATGACGCACCTCCTAGGAAGTTAAACTCCAATTACTAGCAATCATATCACATTCTATAAGACAGAGGTAGGAGTTAATAAACTAATTGTCTCCTTCCTTCTCCAAATTGACTTTTAGTTACCATACACTTGTAGATAAATGTGTGCGCAGTTGGGTGAGCTCCTATGGATAAAGATTCTACTCGGCACTTAAGTTCGACCATAACCCTTGGAAGAACAAGATCAGTTGAATCAAGTGGAGCACCGCTCGAATGAAGAAACCTTACTCGGCAGTAGTGTTTTATAAAGGGTGACTTTTGGCACTCATTTTTTGTGGATAATCGCGTTTTTCTCCGGACAGTCTATCGTACGGCTGTCGGCATCATTACCAGCTAGCACAGAGCGTAAGAATGTTTCAAAAACCGACCTTGCTGTGGATAACTGACCAAGCTCAATCCGGTCCTGAGAAAAGCGAAGGTACCGAAAAGTTAGCCGAATAAAGTTTTCCTTGTCAAACTCGTGTTAGCTTGTCAATGAAAGCATACACATCGATTAGTTACACCGTGGTTAGAGCCAAGTTTATTTTTGAAAGATAATAGTAACATTGATTGGACGTTTACACTTGAAAAGTTGACGAACAGCGCTCGAACAATCTCTTTCGTCTCTACCATAGCATTCAGCTATAAAAAAAACGAGTTTGAGGAATTCCATTGTGGTTTGCTGAAATTCTACACAGAAGAAGACATCAGTGTGAGCTTGGTAATGTAATATCATGTCGATGAAATCACTTGGCGCCAAAAACACCATTCAAAATTTGAGACATGGAATAGAATTATAGTCAAAAATTGGCGTCCGATAAACACCATATTCGCTTCACTAGTGAGATCATCTTCACAATATCAAACATGGGCTAGCCGGAACGGACTCAGTCTACGCCTGAAGCCAAAAAACCACGATGTTCGTGATAAACGAATCTCTTTCTTATGATTTCTTTAGTATCAACGAAACGAATGTCTCAAGATTTTCCAGCTATGTGCCAAATTTTGGAAAACAGCGTGATGAGCAGATTATTTAAGAACAGAGAAAGGAAAAGAAAGTAGTCTGGATAGCCTACACAACATCGAAACAGTGTTAATCATTTTTGATCACCGCTTCGATACCCTTATTCTTCCTTCTTTATGGTAGGCTAAGAAGAATCCTGTTGCAAGGAACTAAAAAGTGGATTCAGGGTCAACTTAAGTCGACAGTTAGCGACCACGGATGCTGTCATATATGCCAAAACGTCGACAATTGGAAGGATCGCACGTATAGTACGTCTTAACGATAATCACTCGGGATAAGCGTTTAGCGATGAAGTTCATGAAAATCAATGGGGGTTGTCAAGAAAGTAACAAGTGCACCACCGAGTCTATAGACAGAATCATTAAAGGAAAATCTGAATGAGAAACACGACACTCGTCATATTCTACGTCTTCCAGAATTATCTGAGTAACTACTAAGTGACAGAGACGACTAAAGACCTTTATAAATACCGATCTAATAAATCGGCATCAAGACGTTTCAACCAAGCGATTAGCTTCTGGAGCTTTTTAGTGTATCATATATTAATACATTAATGCTGCTTATTCCTAATGGTGGATCACCAGCATGGTGCTAGTTCGATTCCGCTCCGGGCCAACCAAGCCTCATATCTCTCCAGAGTCGGAAAATTGGTACCGGACTTGTCTGGGAAAAATCACTCTCTGTAAACCAATTGGAAACGCTCCAGCACGGCTATCCTAGGACTCGAGGGAGAATTGCTCGACCAGCTTTCTACCGCATTCAAGCATTCAAGATGAAATGAAAATCCTCAAGCAGCAGCCGCAGCCGCACGTAAAGTTGGAAGATCCCCAATAGATGCGAGGAAACGAAATGAATGCGAGAAGTGCTGGGATCCGCACAGTAGACGTGAGGACGGGTCAAATAAAGTAAGACCTAAAAAAATTCTTTATAAGTACTGCACGCAAAATAACATCGTAGTAATGAATAACAAACTGTTTGAGGTCCAATATAAATTCAGAGAAAGAACCTCGAATTTGAACACTATTTTTTTTTATACTGTTACCACCAATCATTTGTGGCTTAATTTTGTTATTTACACCACCTTCCACACATAGTGTACGAATCCCAGCGCTTCATGCGTTCGATTCGTTTCCTCGTATCCATCATCCACGAAGGTCTCGAACGTTTCGCTTGTGGACTCCAATTCGCCATAGATGAGATAGAGTAGTCCCACCTGGATTGCAGGCGTGAAGTTTTTCCAGAGAAGAGTTGACTTGAGGCCTGGTATTTGTGATGATCGACATCACTACGACTACGCTACTGGCCCTTGTTTATTATTAGCAAAGGCGACCTTCGACTAATAGGATGGAAATAAAATGTATAAGAAAGCTTCTTAATAATATTACGTAATACGATTAGATCATCTCTCCTCTAATCCATGTGGGAACGCTTTAGTCCGGCAAATCCCAGGATTTCAAGAAGAATTGACTCGCCAAGCATTCCATGACATTCATAAAGAAGACCAAATCCTCAAGCAGCAGCCGAAAAAACATGAAAAATGTTCCGAGACCTTTGTGGAGAATGAATGAGACGAAAACGAATCGAATGCGAGAAGTTTTGGGATCTGCATGGTAGATGTGATGACGGGTCATGTAAATTTTTTTGTGAAGTAAAATGCGACTAAGCAAACTATGTACATACCTTCTCGTCTTCAGTAGAAGGAAGGGTTTCGATTTTCCTTGTTGTCGGATATCGAATCGCTGTCACCTACAGTTATTCAACATCTAGGTAATAGATGAAATATCAAAACTTACTTATTTCAATAAAACACTAGCAATAATACATTAGAACCTTGACGAGAATATGTACGGCATTTGACCCACAACCATCTCCGCACGGTTGTGTTAATAAACTTTATATTTGTAAAGATACATCTATATTTAATTATCTACACTTGTCAAGAAACAAATATTGTGATTTAATTTTTTTAACATAACCCCTCTTCACGTCCACTGTGCGGATCCCAGTGTTCTCACATTCGATTCGTTTCCTCACATCCATGCTACGAAGGCCTTCCAATTTTTTACCCGTGGCTTCGGTTACTGCCGAGGATTTTCATTTCAACTTGAATGTCGTAAAATGCTGGTCGAACAACTCTCCGTGGAGTCCTGAGATGGCCGGGTTGGAGCGCTCCCATTTCGAATGCAGAAAGTAATTTTTCCCGGATAAGTCCGGTACTAATTCCCCGATCCCGGAGAGATGAGAGGCTTGGTTGGCCCCGCGCGGAACCGAACTAGCACCATGCTCGTGATAATCGACGTCACTCCTACTGTGCTACCCGCTTCCTACATTGTGATTTAAAACTATTAATTTATAACAAGGAAATATTTATTTTCTTTCCTTGGACATGTATACATATGCATGTGTAAACACATAATTTAGCAGATCAACAAAAATATTGCAGCATTTCTTTATTGTCCTATCGCATTTCTCCTAATATATTATTTATTGATAGTGGCCCATATAACGCACTAGTTAGAAGTAGCCTGCAGCATACACTAAATCTGCTTCTGGTTCGATTCATCGTCTCGAACGCACCACACATTTCATCCATTCACTATCAGTGAACCACTATGTGTGATTTATCTGTAAGGACAAAGCGATCGGAGCAGTTGTCGTAATACTGTCCAATATGACCAAAACTCTGGTTCTACCCCGCACTGGGTCCAACAAGCTCTCCGTTCCTACGAGTTGGAAAACTCGTAACAAGCTTGCGTGGGATCAATTCATTCTATCCAGTGCACAACACCTGGCGACTCTGTGAGAACGCTTTAGCGTTGATATCCCAGAATTGCTGGGAAAACACCAGCTTCACTGAGAAAGATGGACGATTCTCAAGAAGTAGTCGAACCCACACGCAAATCCTAAGAACTTTATGGAACACGGACGCGATAAAACGAACCAAATGGAAGAAGTGTCGGAATCCGCACAATGCATGATGCTGTGCCGCGCAAAATAAAAAACAAAAATGTTATTATGTATATATAAGAGGGAGGGGGAGGGAGCAGTCGTCAACCATATCCAACTCTGAGTGGCTGTTCTTCCCCGGTGGAAAACAGTGAAAAAGGCAGTGGGATCTTCGAGAAGCCGTTGATCGTGTAATAATTATCGTTCAGATTTTCACCTTTCTGTTTGTGCTGTTGCAGCGTTCGACTTGGCGAGTTACGGATTAGTGTTCCTACCAGGCGATTCAGCTGAAACGTCAGCTACGATTGTGTTGTATGTGTGCTGTTGTATAGAAGTAAACGTTTCCCATTAATGTTTTAACACATAATCGTAGTTGGTGAGTGATTCTGGAGTGGAACTGTGATACAGAATGCAGGCCTATATGCTTCAGTAAGGTTCTGCAAGGTGAAGAGATCGATCCACTCTCCCATTCACAAACAAGCTAGATGTATACCAGAACCAGGAATTGCTGGCATATTGACCATCATCCAAATAGTCACCAGCTTACTGACAAGTAGTGCCCATCTAAGAGAACACTTTTTTTGAGAATCCAGGAAGGGCAAATCTCGCCCAACCAACGAACCAACGAGACTCGTCCAATAGTTACAGAAAAATTTTGCTGATACCAGGACCATTCGTTTTGGTGAAGAGACTTTAACTCAAATTTAAAAAAAGCGTTTTATGTTAACTTAATATTAACTTAAAGGGTACCTTGAATAAAACAAAATAGTAAGTTTAGAATAATACTGTAGTTAATATTTCTAAATATCTAAGATAAGAAAAAAATGTTGCTAGCAAATTTCGAAAGACTAAGGATCTACGGGGATAGTTGATTAATCTTCTTAGTTTTCACCTATTTTAGAAAGATGTAAAAAACATAGGATTCTCGTAGAACACATTTTTCTATTTAAGATGCCTGGTTCGAACACTTGGATGGCACCTCATCACTGGTTGTGCGAAACCCAACATAATTACCGTTTTTTCGGAGACTTGCTGGTTAACCCATTGTAGTTCCCTGAAGTCCCGAGATCAACCAGGCCAAAGCCTGCCCCAGATTGTCACCACTACAGACAGTCGCAGCCCTTGTGGATCAGAGGGAGACTTGCCACCATGCTACTTTGATACCAGGAAAGTGGTGGATCCTGGTATTGGTTCACTCTTAGCTAAGCTTCACGCCGGTCTCCTTCTCAGCTTGGCACAACCCTGCTGGATGGACGAATCGCCTTCGCTTTACATCGCAGTCCCACACTCAGGAACACCTCTCAGCCGCGATGAGGCGGTAAACCGTTGGGAGTATACAAGACAGCTTTGTGAAACTAAGAAATTCGAGAAGCCAAACCCCAAATTATGAAAATATAACCAATTTTTACCTGCCCTCTTTGTTCCCTATTGAGTTCAACAGTTAAATCGACGGTTGCTGAAAAACAAATCTATTAAACTGAATCATTCATAGGTGTTTTATTCGCTTTGCTCTTCCTTCTACAATTATTTTTCACTTGTTCCAACATTTTTTTTACTATTTCCTTTTAACATCTTCATTATAGCCATTATAAAGAGAACAAAACTCACGAATATCCGGTCTGGATTCTTCCACTTGTTTTGGTATGGCTGCCTGCAATATTTAGAAACGATTGAAAGATGTCTCAGCATAAAAAAATAGTGGTCCTTCCTTAATACTTAATTTTTAGTATTCAGCAAATAAAAGGAGAAAGTAGTAAAAAAGGTTCGAAAATGATTTCATGTAAGATCGAGGTCGAGAGCTAAAATCACAAGGGAACTTCACTTCCTTTACCGTAGACTTGTGGCTTTACTATATTTTGGACCCTTATGTTGTGGTTATGATATAAAAATATAAGTATTGGCAATGGTGTACTAAAAAATAAAATCGTTCGATGATTGGAATCATCCGATGCTATTTACCACGAGTGCAGGTCCTAAACATCATCTATGATCTGGTCAACGGTGCGAAAACAAACATAGCACGCGCCGGACTCGGAATAAAATCGAATTCGTAACATAAACTGCCTACCGTTTTTGATACTTTCCCACCCATGTTCGATAATGGACAGACGAGGAAGTAAAAAGTCCGACAACACAGACAGATGATGATGAAAGTAGAACAAAACGGAAAACGATGGCCCCGACAGATAAACAGCGGCTTGTTCGAGGTTGAAGAACGACATCGAATTCGCCGCTGACGATCGAAACGCTCGATATGCTCTATTCGAACATTAGTTACTTCGAACAGTCATAGTTTACGATATTTTCGCTCTGAATGCTTCACTCGCTCTTTTCACAAAGAATCATCTATTTGTCTCAGAAGGAATTAAATCCCTACATAAAATAGCGTCGACGACTGATAGCAGCGATTATATCATTACTCCAGCTTTCAAAAACAATAGCCAACGATGCATTTCCCACTTTCAAAACCGTTTAAAATACTAAATTTTACTAAAGACCATTAAAAAATAACAATGCAAACACTGGACAACTCAGTCCTTTGAGCACTAGTGCTTAACCGGGCCACTAATCCAAGGAATAGCTTCCGGATTGGGAGAACAATTGGCGAACACATCTTCCTCCAACACAACGAAAACAACGACTGCCTATTACGAAAAGCTAAAAACGATCTAGTACGTCCATTTCGTAATTCTTAGGGAAAATCCGAGCAATTCCATGGTTGACGAGTGCAAAGCAATGGAAGTGCTTGAACTCACACGAAATGTGAGGAGAATTCATCTAAGTATGGCGACGGTAAACATGAAGTGGTGCTATAGATGGGACCTAAAGAAAAGTCTGAAAAACTGTGAAGAAAAAAAGAAGTTTAAAACTGCTTTTACACCTCCCAATAAGCCTAGCAAAGCGCACTTATACAACCACTACTTTGTTGGAAACCCATCTCCGAAACAATGCATTATCCTAAATGAACAAAACAGGTCATCTTCTAGTGACAAACATAGTGCTATCTGAATCATATTTGAACATAAACCTTCATTAAGAAATAAAAAGTGGATTACGTTACAAACAAAACAAACGTGTATGTTGCGGGATAGAACCAAGAACGTGTATGTTGCGGGGTGCCTCTAATCACTGCGCTACTCATAGATATCGTTTTTAATTATTTATTCAGTTATGTAATTTGTAGCCACTCAATACCAATTCAGAAAGAACATATCAATGATATTTTCTATTTATAGATTAATACAGTGTTTCCAAAGAAAGAAATGCTCGATTTTACTAATTTCACTAAATTTTCTTCTGATAGCATATTTGATAAATTTCTAAGCAAGCAACCTATTTCAAACGGTAAGACTGAATTCTTTAGAAGTGTTATAGTTAAACTCACTGATTCCTCGATGGGAGTTCTGTGACTACGGATTTCTTTGAAGACGCTTTCAAAACGAGATGATGGTTCCTGTAATGCTTTGTCTAAAGTCGTATAAAACATATGAAACCTAGTCATCAAAGCTAGTAAGAAACAGTTTATTACGATGTTAACTTTAGAACCAGCTGAGAACCAGGCGAGACGAAAGACTCGCATGGTGTGGTGGTGAACGCGTTAGCTCCCCGAAAGGGTAATAGCGCGCTCGTGTCCCACCGCAGACTCCTGCGGTCCGAAGTTTTGCAAATATCTGAGCATTACTGTGGTTGTAACGAACTATTACCTCATCAAATTTTTGTTCCACATTTACAGAAAATACGGTAATACAAAAAGTTTTTTTTGCTACCTCACCAGCAATAATTTTAACTATTGAAGTAATATTGAAATACGGTACATTCACAACTGTTGATGCTAACATTTGGATGTCATGTTTTCAGAAGTATCATGAAAAGCTCAATTATCAGGTTCTCCTTTGATCAATATTATGTAGTGGCAAGAATTTTTCTCTGGTGTCGTGGGATTATCAACGCAAGTCACTCTTAGGCCTGACGGCTCCCAAGGAACATCATTTTGCTACACTTAGGCGATAAATCACTGAAAAATTGCGTAGTAAAGTAGTATCATAATAGGAAGCTTCTATCAGAATTTACACAGAGCATTAATAGCGGACGCCACTAACTACCTCACATTAGAGAACAACACTAATTTTCTCTGTTTGTATAGCTTTACCACACAGAGGACAATTTGAAAAATGTACTTGAGAAGCACACAAAACAAATTCAAAGCAATCGCCCCATTCCTTTTAGATGTTCAGGCACTATTTAAGGAAGGAATAACGAAATTTAACGAAACTTTGACGAAAACTAAATGATGACTATGCGCCCCCGAACAATAGCGCTCAAGTGAGCCAAGTAACTGAACGAAAAGAAGCACAATTCATTTTGACTAAAGCGAAACGTTGGATTCGTTGAAACGGCTTGCATCTACTGCGTGTAAGATCGAGGGAGACAACTAACACTCAATGGAGTCCTTCGACCGAACCTTTGCAAATGCGGCGACGACGATGGATAGTCGTCGTTGTTCGGCTTCCGCTGTGTGGCGGAAATCGTTCTCGAAACGTTCAGCGGGATCAATACCTAAGTAGAAAACAAAAACAATAGATTCAATGAACTTCATGAACTTTGCTTATTCACATAGGCTTTGAGACGACTAAATATGTAGGACCAAATTCAAAGCGCTCGCAATGAAATTGAAATATAGGTGACGAGAAGAAAATTCTCCAACAGAACAAGAGCAAAATTCATTTTTAGATAGATAAAAAACACGTCTTCCGTTTAAGAAAATCTAGAAAGATCGATTTAAATTACTGCTAATTTTCGCTTTCATGCTAATTATATCCCGTTTTCGCATTGACCAGAATTAATCCGGGTTTTAAAGGCGATTATGTGACTACAAAACCAAGAAGATTGTAAAAAACAGATTTTATGAGTAGTACTATCAGTTGAAGGGTTTGACCTAATAAATTGCGTATTAGTGTACCCTTCCAAGCTCTGAAGAAGGCGATCCTGCCGAAACGTCAGCTACCGTTGTATTGTGTGTGTTATTCTTGTATGGAAGTAAACGTGTGCAGTACAACAACCTCGCAATTGCTGAGAAAGAAACCGAGATATTTATAATCCAATGCTGAGGTTAATAGAAAGTTAATCATGAGTACTATCAGCGTTATAAGAAAACGATTTCATGAGCTGCTGAAAAAAAAGATTACGAAAGAAGGCAAACAGAAATACAGACTGTGCAAATTCGTATAAAATAAATGTGATATAAAACAATAGAAACAGTGGATTAGACGAAAGTAGAAGAGGAAAGACCTGATCGAGGGTAGAGTCAGATGAGGACGGCGGTGGAAGCGGCGGTGGTGGTGGCGGTGGCGGCGGGTAGTCCGGCGGTGCTGACGACTCCGTCGTCGTCGATGGTGCGGTGGAGACCTTCGATGAGATCAAACGATCGGGTGTGTGCTTCGAATCACCTGCAAGTACCGAATCATAAACAAGTTTTATGGTTTACGTGTTCCTAACGCACTAACTACACAAACACGGCATGGAAGTTCCTTAGGTCGTGGTATTTTAGTATTTCACGAATACTTATCTACTTCAAAGGCTAAGTACTGAAAGGACAACAAATCTCAGCGGATAAGCTAAAAATTCAGATCGTTCCATGGAAAATTTTCTTATTAACAACTTGTGGAAATTTGGAAATCTTCGCAAACATATCCTGGCAGAGCAGAACGCTTTAAGGATAAGGGATAGGGCAAATTCACAAACTCAAACCCTGTTTCAAATAGTAGCTCACTAAAATAATATGTGGAATCTTCACGCTCACGATTCTTCCATTGTAAACCGGAAAAGTAGTTCTTCGATTAGTGGAATTCGAACTGTGCCACATTACAGTCACCTAGTAGCGCAGCTCTATCACAGCGATGAATACCGTCCGTATTTGACGATATTGCAAAGGTACTAACTTCGTGGAGAAAAATCCAGAGAAGTAGATGGTGAATGCGAATCGGTGGTACGATTTTCGATACCGGAATCGTTTTGGTCTTCGTGATGCAACGACGGTGACGTGATGGTTAGAATTTCCTCCTTTGTGTCCTAAACAGAAGAAACATCAGACTCCTAATGCACAAGTCCAACGATTTCAGAACCCTATGCCTAACTGATACTCATGTAGCATTTTCTTATTTAATTATTCTATACATCCAACGTAAAAGTCTAATCGGCCAAATTGGCTCAAAAAAATTTTGAAAAATCATAGAAAATATTATAAAATTATGAACCGAAATAACTGACGCCATATGTGTTCGAACAACTCAAATATTAACAATTTTTATGTAATACAACCGTAATGATGGTGAAATATTTGCAAAACTCCGGACCGTAGGTGTCTCCGGTGGGGAATGAAAACGCTATTACCCGTTCCGGGGACTAATGCGTTAACGGCGACACCACGCGGAGAATTTTTATGTATTTGTGCTTTTGTAAACAATTGCAGAAGGTTCTTGCTCATTTATGAATAGGGAAAAAAAGCCCGAATGAAGACCTTTTAGTGTGCTAACCTTTAAAGAAAAAAATACCAGGCTAAAAAAACACTGCTGGTTAAAATCGACACATCATATTCGCTTTTAGAGGAGCGATTCTCCAAAGAAATGTACAATTACGCCGGTACTAAGCAGATTATTCAAGAGATATGCGTTTTTGAGAAATTTTCCTTAGCACCAATAAATGTTTGAAATCCAGGAGATATCATCTATATACGTACCCCACGTTCATCCGTAAATCTGACAACATGACAGCGTTTCAAATGTGCCATTCGGTTTTCGATGGATGTTGTCGTGAATCAGAGAGTCATGGAAATCCCTATCAATCACAGAGAATTTGATGTGTTCACAAAAGAAAACGTGGACCATCAGTCAAAACGGTAGCGGGACAAAGAGTCGTCTAGTAGTCACAGCGTGTTAGGTGGCGCCACTGGCTCTGCAGCTCAATTAGCAGTGCTGGCGCCCACGACGATGATGGTGTCGATTCGCGGAATTGCTGCCGCTTATGACTCAGCGCGTCCCACATCACTCCCGCTCTTTTGTCTGATCGACGCCGCCGCTGTTGAATTCATGAATTCCCGAAATCCATTCACTGTTGGATTAAGGTTACAGTCACAATGAAGTCATACTGAATCATCGAACGAATGTGTCGCTAGCACTTCTGATTCATTTCTTGAGAATGCCGTTCATTGTTAGCCTTCTCTTGAATTTCTCCGTAAACAGAGCAGAATTAGAAAGTTCCGCTATCTCAATGTGGAACTTAATGTGACACGTCTTCTGCTTACCAACCATCGCTATACTTTTGCTCTTATTTCGAAAACGCTATCGATCATGAGAATAAGCGTCCATGACCGAACATGAGAATAAGTTCAAAAAACTGTCAATGTCAGCGCTGCTATCATGTTAGAACACAGCATTATATCGTACCAAAGGGTAATGGGACATTTTATGGCCCATAATGGCAGCAGAATGCTTTCCTAATATTTATTACCCTCTTGGCGATCTATGTGTGGGTGTAGTGCAATGACAAACCTACTGTGCTGATACCGTTGATATTTTCATTCTCTGACCAATAAATCAAGCAATCTCTAATCATTATAGGCTGAGTGGTCCGGTACCAGGAAGATGCGCCATCGACATGCTTTACAAGCGGGGTAGGGGTTGTGGTAAGGTGCTGCAATCTGCACATTAGATATGAAGATGGGAAATTTCAAATGAATAAAAGCAAATCGTACAAGGACTTGAGAACATCCGTATCAGAAGCCGTACAGTAATAGTACCACAAGTTAATATCTTCATTCATGCTTTTGTTTTGTTTATCCTTTTGAAATGGCGCGTGTGGCGCAGTGGTCGGAGGCGCCCTGCGACACACGCGTGAAATCGAACCCTGCGTCCAATGGCGCACCAAGCCTTCCATCCTCTGGGGTCGACAAATTGGTACTAGACTTGTCTGGGAGGATAGGAGGACTGGTTCGATATATCGGTGGGAAACTTCGAGTCATTGTAAAGGCTAGATATGCATTCATTCATATCCAACGATGCTCCATGAAGTCGAATGCATGACGCTTCCCTTAAGGATTGACCAACGCCGAGAGCTTTATCATGCTTTTGACATCAATTAGTAGAAACGCTTTTTTTCATAAATTCGTATTGGATGGATCAGACAAAAGTGAAACTCATCACGACGTCGTTGTATGATAGAAACATGTGCACATGTACGTCCATTAACATATAGATATTCTCCATCACTTCTCTCTATTCCACACTCTTATACAGAGACAAAAAAACGCTTTGAAAAAGCGCTCAGCCTAAAAACAGCAACAACGGCTGAACAAACACTGTGCCCTCCACGTGCACATTTTGCGACCGCAGTGAAATAAAGCAAAAAAACCTAAGGAAAAAGTCTGATATTATGGCGTAGCTTTTCGGCTTAACTACTGGATCCCTTTGCTCATCTTAAGGATTATAAGAAATCTAAACAATATAAAATTTCCGGCTAATCGAAATTCGATGATGCATTTCGGAAACTGTGTACGACCATCCAGCGTAAAACGAGGAAACGAGCTATTGGGTACGAAAAGCGAAATAAGATGAAACTACACGAGATCCTAAAGCTGACTTCAGAACCAAAACCAGCGGTATCCAATTGTTTCCTGTAGTCTTCTACCAATTTCTCACAAGCTTACTCATTTACCTCATTTGGTGAAATCGTTCTTATGTTGTTCCGTAGAAACACCATGGAATCATTTTGACTTATACGCTTCGTCGTTCCTCCAAAGCGTCGTTGTGGTTTTCTTATTACTGGCAATTTCATAGAGCGTTCACGAACTAACGGTATATCTGGGAAATTTCCCCAAAAACCAGGTGGTAGTGGAGAATGCTGCTTATTCGATGGGGCCATTATCAGAGCGTTTTCGAGAACGATAGCCGCTTCTGCAACGTTAGAATAGCGAAATTGAAGGGCTTCGCGACTTGGGATCACTGAGCATTTGTCTTGAGCGTGAATGCTTCCCTGTTGGCGCCATATAGACATCTTAGTGGTAATTTATGTTAGGAATCATAGACATTTATTAGAAAATGAGACCAGGAATATAGATGTAGACGTATGACGACGAGAAGCAGAACACCACAAGACGGACGTTACTGAACGGCGATTCGATCAAGCTATGTGTAAAATCGCCACCAATCGAGACAACGATCGCAACCGGTGATGACATACAAAAAATACGAGAGGAGCCCGTAGTAATCCGGTTTGGTCCCGAGGATGTCATCCATATTTACGAGCGCAAATGGTGCTGTGCAACGAAACACATACCGTTGCAAGACCATAAGTGGTGTAGTACACCTTCATTATCCTAACGGTTATATCTCGTCGTCTACAAAGCGCTCAAAGTTAAAAACTATGAATAGATGGTAGGAAGATCTATGTAATTTTCTATAATTTGCGAAGATTTTCGTATTGTACTGTAAAATAGTGACATCCTTGTTGGGTCTACATTGATACGTCATCTTCAGAATTTGCATTCCATTGGATGGAATGTTCGTTCGTGAGAATATCTTCCGTCCTTCCAGAAACTGAAAACAGTAACAAAGCCGTATAGCGTGGCAATTCAAACCTGTAGCAATCACTAGATTGACAACTAGATGAAAATAAATCTGCTCGAATAAGAGTACAACGATTCCAAAGGTTACTTTAAGCCATGGTCGATAACTGTACAGTGTTCACTAAGAAATGTGAGTAGATAACAAGAATCAATATGCCCAAATTAAAGCTTATAACATTCACTTTCTACACAAGGCGGTAAACCAACCTCCTGCGACTGCATACGACGAAAAGCTATTGACGCCTCAGCACGGATTTTCCAAAACTCCAGAAAAAGCAACTTGCCAAACTAGCATGAACCGGTTCAATGAGGATTACTCTAGTGCCCGTCACATTTGATATTTATGAAGATAAACTACCTTGATTTGTCATTTGTGGCGTATTTAGCCCAAAATGGACCAGTTTTTCAGCTTGCAAACTTTAACTATGTACTCAAAGGATTCCCGTTTCGTAAAGATGTATAAAAAATGAAAAAAGACCTAGGCAAAATTATCATTTAGTTACAAGGATACTACTAGTGGAATGGGTCAAAGCACGGGACATAACCCACCGGCTGATTTGAGCGTAGAAGTAATTTTTCTCTCGGAAAAAAGAAAATGTCTTAAAGATGAAGTCTCTAAAATAATTAGCAAAGCAAAAAAAAGGCTATTCAGGAAAGCCACTAATGCAGTAATCTTTAGATTTCTTCAGAGACTACTGAAGACCGTATATTCTATTTCCAAGCAATCCTGCCAGAGTTCGTAACGGCAGCATTTCAAGTTGATTTTTAGCCCTCCGAAAGCAATTTTTGAAACCTATTTTGAATAACGCTATATGTCGAAAACAAATGTTGAACCTATGAACACAGACAAACTTTCCGAAAACAACCACTGATTAATTTGGTAATTTCCAATAAAGAGTCTTTTTTAATACCCGCCTTCAATATTCGAAAACACTAGTAGTCTACCACAAAAACAATCATCTTCAACTCGTTTTCATCTCAGTGAAAAACTCCTCAGAAATTCTGCCACGTCATTCTAGATGCTGCCTTCCGGGCGGCATGGTTGTATAGGCGACCCGACAGGCTGGTTTCAGTGGGGAACGAGGCCGCCGTATTTAGTGAATTGAATGGCATGATCAGTCCGGATCTCGCAACAATAAACGTACTTGATTCCCTGACATGCACTCGACACTCGTCGGGGCGGACAACAACAGAAATAGATTGGCAATGTCACTAAGCGAGGAGACGATGAATGTATTACGAAATGCGATCACCACTAAAGGAAGGACTTCGTAACTCAGGTAGGATGACATAAGTCGTGGAGCAATTCAACATCCACAGATGAAGACTCATTTAACTACTCAGTCCATCGAAGAGTTTTGCGACACTCTAAGCACATTTTTCAAAATCATAAGCATTAACTGAGCAAGGAAGTTAGCCTAGAGAATAACCACCACAACTTCCCATCACAAGTCGACGACCTGCTAGGATGTTTCAAAAGCTCATCACAAAAAATTCTCATATACTCAGACAGACTGTTAACTTCCCTTTATGCTTTTCAAATAACCATTCACAAAGCCAATCTTTCGTGGTTGGTTTTTGGACCGACTAGACAGGCTGTATAGCTGAAAAGTTCGATGACTGGAAGTGCCCAAGCTGATTATAGTCTGTTAAGTACATAGTTCTACAACGTACTTGAATGCATTCTCACAGAGGAAACAAGCTTATTCGCGTTTCGATCACTTTCTTAGAAAGGGATAAACCAACTTCTGAATTTGAACGGAGTGGTCGTTTGTACAGCAAGATTGCTGCGGTTTACAATTAGCTAATAGGAGTTCCACCAACAAAAAGAAAAAAGCTCCTTCTAGAAGAAAAACTACTTTAAACGGAAGTCGTTGACGTGAATCCACTAGACGAACAACTTCTCTCCCTCCAGTTTCAATCGTAATTGAAGATTATTTTGTATGATACAGACAGAAGAACTGAAACGTACCAGCATTCGTTACTTGACTGACTCTACTCGAAATCCAGTGTCCAACTCGACACAAATTTTTGGTAATTGGGTATACCCAGGTGGTACGATACTGCTAAGTAGATGAAGTTGAGGAACGTGGTCAATTAATCAATGAGGTAGGATACCAACTAAGATTAACAACAGCAAACTATTTGAAATATAAAAAAAATATAGCGTCGAACTAATATGTTACTAATTAAGTAAAGAAAGATAAAGCTCTTGGCGTTGATCAATTCCTGAGGGATGTACCTTGCATTCGACCCCACTAAACACCGTTTGGAGGTGACCGGATGCATATCTGGCCCATACAATGACTCGCGATGGCCTACCGATGTACGAGCCAGTGATACTATCCTTCCAGACAAGTCTGGTACAATTTGCAAACCCCGGAGGGAGGGAAGGATTGGTGGGCCATGGGCGCGGGGGTCGATTCCACGTGTGTGTTGCAGTGCACCTCCGACCACTACGCCACACGCACCCATACTACCTTTAAAAATCCAGTCACAAAAATCGTACCTCTGACCAACAAAGATTACCGAATAAATACCATGACAAAATTTACTCAGAACTCTTGGGAAAACCTTATATGGTAAGTAAAAGAGCAAACTATGGTTGCACAAGGTCTTACACACCTCAAAAATATAAGCGTTTGAACTACCAAAGTATTCAGCATTTGAAAAAAAAACAAAAGAATCAAGGAAAAAAACAAATACAGAGTGGTCAAGCAGGAATATTCTTTTGCTACTAGGACAAATGTTATACAGTGTTCCGCTTTCAACAGACTAAATTCTCTTGGAATTTGAAACCAAATGAAAACCTTGGAAGATGACTTTTAGCTTTTTTTTCTTTTAGAAAATTCTCCAAAATATGGGAAAAAATACATTCCATCCATTAATTGTTTAAAGTTTAAATGGTGCTTGCGGTGGAGACCGAACACGCATTTACCCTTTCCGGAGGATAGCCCGTTCACCACCACACCACACGAGCCCTTCGTTTCGCCTGTCTCTTACCTGTGTTATTTGTGCTCCCCAGATCAATTCCACTGACGGGTGGCTGCTGATAACCCCTATAGGTCAAAAACACGGCTGAGAAACAGGCGGAACGAACGACTTGCATGGCGTGGTGGTGAATGCGTTAGCCTCCGAAGAGTGTAATAGCGCGTTCACCCGCACCGCAGACACTAGCGGTCCGGAGTTTTGCAATTATCTCAGCAACATTAGGGTTATACTTTACTCAAAACCCTGACTTTAAAAAATAGAAGGCAATAAATAAAAATTGCGACATTGTTTAAACCTCATTCTTGTTATGTTCCTGCGTCATCGGTATTCTTCACACAAAAAATCGTCGTATATTTATTCCTTGTGTTTTACGTTTTATCACATTAACATGCAGATGTTGGCTGTCAGCAGCGGTCTTAGAGAGCTATTTACTTCAACAATATACATTAAAAAAAAGATTGGCTCGTATTTTGAAAAACCGTGACCCTCTGAAGAATTTATGAACCACAAATAATATTCGATCAGAAATAATCTCTAAAATATATGTCAGCATAGGTAGGCCGATCAAACTGTGGGATGAAAAAGTAAACAAAGTAGGGAGGCGGTGGATAACAAACGAAAGAAGTAGAAAACAGAAAAATAATGACAGAGAAGAAAACAACGAGAGCAAATCAAAAACCTGATAAAAGATTTCGATAAGCCTGATTTAAGATGAATGCGTAAAATATTAGAAATATTGAAGAGTATTTTAGAATAAGTTTCATTTCTTAAATTCCATTTGAAACCAAGGAAAAAAGGACTTTCAATTAGTTTTCAATTAGTTTTTTTTTTTTAGTTTCAATTAGTGGAAAATGGTGAAAAAGTTCTCAAAAAATGTAGACTTTCATAATACTGTAACAAATGACAGACCTTAGTCGACACTGTCTACGGCTTGAAAATATAGATGAATACTATCGCCCATGCATGACGAGAAAACACTGCTTCGACAGTGAAGTGGACGTCGAAATTTATTACACTAATGGGACCCAAAATTACTGGATCATACTATGAAACGGAGCAATATCGCAGATTTTGTCCCTATTACTGCTATGTAATATTTCATACGCAAATCTCTTTTATGTGGGTGGTCTCCAACCGCTTCTGAAAGTACTTGGACCAGTTTGTATCTCCAAACCTCAGCTGCACGAAAAGCCTGTGTTGAAAGGGCTAGGAAGAGCATGGGAGACGTTTTACAAATTCGCACTAACAAAAAAAATACTATAGCAATCCGTTCTGGAAGAGACCAGTATGATGATCCTAATCGGAACCTTTGGAACATGTTAGGAACGAATACTACCATTATTGATTCATATTATGAAGCGTTTATATCATGTTTTGTGGCAACTTTTCTCAAGTAAAATTATTGTAATCCACACAGGCACCTCGTTCATCAAAATTT